CTACGCGTGCGAAAATTTTTCATTCGCCAGCGTTTCCATGAAGAACTTCTAAATATAGTTAGAACAGTAACTTACATTAACGATAGCAACAAATGTGGCGCCTTCGGAAAACCTCGCCAAATTTACAGTTCCAACGTAACCCATCGCATACATTACAATGAACATTGTCCCTCGCACGCCACACTTTGAATCACATCCCGCACCACCAAAGAAGCATTTGAAACCAAACGACCAACTAGAAAAAGTATTGGAACGAGACATTGTACTACAGTGGGGTGCCCTAAAGCACGCGTAGAACAAGCACGTATATGCCAATGCTTGTGATTCGAAACAAACTAAAAGACTGACTAGACCGCGAGCAGTCCCTCGGGAGAAAGGAGGGACTGCCGACAACACATAAAGAAACGAAATACGCGTTGCCCACACAACGCAAAATTCCCATTGGTCGAAATCGATGTGCCTGTCAATCAAATCTGATATATGGTAATTATGCTATAAATAATTTCCAGACTGAATGTTGATTTTATAAATACACATATATGACATTAACGTTTCCTATTGGATATATTTAATTGGATATAAAAGTAATGTTTATGCAAAACGTAGTAGTTCGTTCCTTGATATGTTGTCGGCAGTCGCTCCTTTCTCCTCGCACGCCCGTACACGAAGCTAAGCCCGTGGAAAGGAGGGACTAAGACTGACAAGCTGTAATAGATTAGTTTAGCAAACTAGTGCAGCGAATATAGAGCGATACGAAACCTTTTTTGTGCACCACAATTATTAAAATTGGTCTAGTAGAACCAATGATGCATGTGGTTGTTCAAAGTAAGGGATCATCAAACCCATCTTGATATACAGCTATTTCAATTAAGGTTGTCCACCGAGCAAAGCGGAAAAGTCGAATACGAGCGCGAAGGCTGCTGGGATACGCTAATAAATTCATTAATTTATTAGCGAATCCCAGCAGCCTTTCGCGCTCGTATTCGACTTTTCCGCTTTGCTCGGGG